TCACACTCAAAAGTCGCAAAAGCCAAGGTGTTTACATAAAGTAAACTTATGCCGTTAAATCTTCTTTCTTTGATATCTTTTCAAATTTCAATCCTTGTATTTCTTAGTTCATCAGATAAAATTATACAGAAATAAGTGACAATCCCTGAATCATCATAGTATTTATGTAAACAATCAATTCGATCTACCATATAAATAAACACTTTCATCTCTTCTATGTTAGTCTCTAGAAACAGATCAGAGTTAACTGACAAACTTACAGAACAGAATAAACAAGGATACAAATGTATCATAGAAATCATCAAAGTATCTTTTGAAGAAACATCATATCAATTGACTACAGTTAAACATATTTTTACTTCTACTCAAATGAAGCATTCCCATGAAAAATAAAAACAAAGTTATTTGAAAAAAAGTCTCTATGAGAGAAAATCGTGTGAATCGATTTATGTTACTCGAATTTTCGAGATTTCAGATAAATAGATATATACACGCGCGTCCTTCCCTGAGGGTGCACGGAAATCTTTATCACACACGTCAACACATCTCTCTGCTGAGAGTGCTCGGAAATCGTGATTCTACATGAAAAACAGATTTCTTGCATATAGCATAGAGCAAAATAGGCTTGATTACGATCATCAGGATCGATTTCTACGCTATGAATAAGTTGTTCTGGTGTTAGATGTTTTAGTATATATGTAATAGATTGTTCATCTTGCATCGGTTTCACGTTGACTTGATGAAATTCGGCACAATATCTTCCATTTGAATTCACGAAAGGTTGTTGAAATTTAATATTAGATAGAAACTGTGGTTGGTAATCGTTCGATACATGCATACAAATTAATGAAATATCCAAATTTTCTAGAATAGTATTAAAGTAGATAGGAATATGGAATAGAAAGCGATCATTTTTCATTTGTGCTTGATCTTGATAAATGATACGCACAATTCGTATACTTCCAGGTGGCATTGGATAAACTCTTGTACGAAATGTATTTCCTTTCACCATCTCGACTAAACCAGAATCGACACCCTTTCGAACTTCTTTTTCAACAACAACACCATCAACCAGGATATCATCAACATCAAGACCTATGACAAAAAAAAACAAATATCAATATAGTTTATATTGATTTTTTTCCAACTCGTAATTCTAAGAAATTGAACTCGCCAAATCCACATATGGTTGCTGCTTCAGGTAGAGTAAATTCTAAAACTCCTTCTAATATTCGATTATGATCATTTTTAAATGTTATTGTTGTTGCTACTTGATGTATAAGTGGGAATTTTGCATCTACTTGTTGTTCGACTTGTAATTTGATCATTTTCAATGGTGTTGAGACAGTGTCACCAAATTTCGTTTGTCGACCAAAATATATCGGAAACGATGTACGACTATTATCATAGTTGGAATGTAAAGCCATATTGAATACTTAACGTTGTTTTAGACAATCACGAAAAGTTTAACATTAAACTAGAAAGAAAATGAAAAACATCAATGTTTCCTATAGAATACCATTGTCGATTTTGAACTGAGTCCAATATGTGTGAAAAAAATATACACAGTAACGTCATTCTAAAACCCTTACGAAAACAATAGTATAGCACGGAATATGCGTCTTTAATCAAAAAGTATGATTTTGTAAACACATAGATGGAAAAGAATAGAAAGAGAAATGAAATCACACTTACTTTACCTTTCTATACTGTGTTAATACTAATAGACTGTAAACTGACTACTACGCACTTACTTCAGAATCGAAAACAGTATTGTTTCACAATCACACGTAATACCATGAAAAAAGAAAAGTTAAGAGATATCATCATATTGGTGATGACGTATTCAATTAAAGACTTATTACGACTGCACATTACGACGATGGAAAACTGTCTTGATTTGTACATTCCATATAAGAAGCGGATTCAAGTCAGATTAAAATTGACTTTCATAAAATAAACGTAAAAAATTGACAAAACTAGCTTTGCGGGTGTGGAGTGTGGGTGTGGATCTGTGGGCGTTGTTGTTTCGATTTATCCTCATCCACACTCACACGCCACACCCACCCACACCCCACACCCGCCCACACCTACCCATACCCACACCCACACCCACACCCTTCTCAACTAACAAGGTATGATGGTGACAACGATATGGAACAGCAAAAAGGTTTTCTTCATTCATTAGCACAAAATCCTCACATACTGCAAAATTTCTATCAATTTATCGAATCTACATGAGCTCGTAGGGCTGAAACATCGGTTCAACAGATTTGCTAGAGTGTGAATGTTGGTTTAAGGAAGCAGATCGCCGATTTTGACACTCACACTCATATTTCACATTGATTCGCACCCACACTCATGCTCTCAGACATTTTCACAAAAGAACTCATTTTGAACTCATATTGTGGAAAAAGGGCAACCGAGTGTTTTTTTCCAATTGATCTTCGACATATTGATATGTTAATCTATTCTTTAAAGAACATGGTTAATTTTGAAAACTACTAAACAATGATAAGTTAGAAAAGATATTTCCATTTGAAGTAACAGAAATATGTTTTTTTTTATTCAATACAATTATTTTGCTAAGGAAATTCATTCCATTTTATGATTTCTCTAAAATACATTGATATTTTAGAAAGTGTAGGGGTGCAACAAATCATTAAGATTTGTATTTGTAGTCAGAGTTTAATTCCAGTCTTAACATAATCGCAACGTCGAAGTCATGTTTGATTGAAACTAAAATACTAATTCGAATTCAAATCTAAATTCAACGCAAATTTTTGTACACCAAATCGCAGGGTCTTGGATTTGGTGATACATGCCTAAGAAAGAGCATTTTATATACTTATATATATATAGGTTGACATCAGTGTTACATCATTGGAATATATTTCCTTGAAAAATGCATTTTCCACATCTTAGTTTAGGTGATCATGCAATTAGTTCTCAACCCAAAGCCATTACTTTCATTATACGGTCGACTTACTAAGAATAAAATACAGCATACTAATTAATAAACTACCTTCTTTTTCTCTTGGTATATCACGTTTACGAACGTGAGACTAAGCCTAACAAGTCTGTATGATTGTTAATGAAACTTTTTATCTTGTTGTTCTATTATTCACAGAAAATAGTTCCATTCATTACTGCGAAATGTCGTTTTTCTTATCTTCGAATGCAATATAATTATCATGATGATGTTTTAGAAGAATGCTACACTTTAATAATAAAAGAAAAACGAGTTCATCTTGAAAATAAAAGAGAATAGCTCACAACAAATAATACTAAAACTGTAAAACCGTTCGAATGAAAAAAGCAAAATAACTTTGCATGTGAAAAAAAGTATTAAAGACCAAATTATTCAGTCATTGTGAACGTTTCTATTGATCTTTCTGGTAGCATAAAAAGAATTTATTCACTTCAAGTTCATGCTGTTAATATGGCAGTAGCAAAGAAATGCATCAAAGCCTTTTGAAAAGATCTCGCACTTAATGCTACAAGACTTGCATTTGAATGATATTATGTCCAGAATTAACCAATTTATTTTTATTTTTATACATTCGAAATTCTAAGGGAAAATCCTCAATTTTGTGAATATTCTCTAGTTTACTGAGTTAATTAAAACATAGCCATAATTTTACAAGTAACAGATGTAGCATAAATAATAAGATCATTCATATTTTGTTGATATTTTGATGAATTTGCATCATGTTCATTGAAATTTTGACTCAAAAGATTCTTCACTTATTTCTCCAGAATGTTATGTCAAAAGAGCTCAAACATATATATGCGTAATATAAGAGGTCGTCAACACTGCTACACCTCAAAATAACCTACTTTTCAACTAGTTTGAAAGGATAACTGAATAGTTTTTCGTCCATGTGTGCATAATAAAGTTCTTCCTTTTATTTTTATCTCTTCCTCCACCAATTGTGACATGAAAATGAAACTAATTATAAGTAATGTTTTGTGAAAAGAAATCTTAAAGTTTTTCTCCAATGTTTTTTTATAGAACTCACATTTGTTTTTGAGGAAAACACTAGACATAGAAGCAGTTGACATTTTTTCCCTAATGGAACCGATTCGAACGTAACTGACAGAATTCTAATAATTTCAAACTGAACTGAATTTAAGAAATGCGAAGTGTATCTTATGCTAATTAAGACCTTATTTATATCTCACTGAAAAAACTATTGAAGTCACATAAAAAGATGACATTAACTTTTCCTAACTGAACCGATCCCATCTCTGAAAAACAGTGAGTATAAGTTTTAAGTCGAAGTTTGTCGTTTTATTGAATGCTTATAGTAATAAGAATGTTTAACCATGAAAAAAGAATTATGATAATGAAAACGAAAAGTAAGGACACTACTCAGAAAAAGATAATAAAAAAATTCTTGATTTGACACTTTCTGTACTCCGTAATCTTGTAATGAAACTGAAGAGAATATGTGACTTCTACATTTTATCCTGAAAGAGGACTAGGTTAAGAAAACTTTTTCAAGAATATTGATCTTCAGAACATCATCATCTTAATTAAGTGATTTAACCTTCGAGCTATGAGAAAGAGCACGTTCTAAAAACATGAGACATCTCACATTATAGAACAGCACTACATCTCATTAGGAAAAAATGGAAGTAACAATTAATTTTCTTTCAAGAAATTGCGGAAAAAAAACTTTTTTCCGGAGTATAGAAATGTGCGTTAACTAGGATAACATACTTATAAATTGTGAAGTTTTTTTTTCAAAATGATTTTGTAGACGATTGAATGCAGAATCTTTTGAGGTAAAACTATATGCATTATATAGACTAATGATTTGTAAATATTTTAAAATAAGTTCTTCTTCTGCTTAACTTGTTTTTACAGCAATATTCTATTTTGACTTAACCTTTTAGCATAACATTTAAGTTCATCTGAAAAAGTGAATTTCGAATTTCAACTTAAAACCTTGCATAGGTAAGTCTCAATAAGACTGACTAATTGCGATAGCTTCAGATTCTTGTTGTTGTTCCTATACTAAAATATGAATATGAAACATTTTCTGCTATAAGTAACGTTAAATGATAGGTTTTTATTATTTTCATATTTAAGGATAGACAGAAAAGTAAAAATTTGAAGCTTTCAGGGTGAACTAGTTTCATTGAGACGTTTGATTCTACATGATGTCAAGCTGAAATTCAAAATTCTGTTTTCTAGTTGCATGTGAGCATTGACCTACAATATCCAGTAAAAAAATGTTACCTCAGAAAACTAAGTGAATGACACGAGCTCTTTTTAGAATATTTATTGTTCATCAGACTCTGCATGACACATACATGGTTTCAGCTTAGAAGTGAGTAGACATCTATGAATGTTCCCTCGTAGTTTTAAATTTGTATGATCCATTGACACTAATATATTTACAAAATTCTAATATAATCAGTATTTGTTACGCTTCC